CAGAGCATGGGAGTCAGCAATGGGATGGCGCAGGCACACACACACAGCTGGCCAACACATCGCATCAACACCAACCGTGTTAGCCTCCGCCTCTTCCGTTGCCGCCGATCGATTCCAGGCACCGTTCTTGGCCCTGCTGTGTCGACGCATGCCTCGTCTCACCCACACAAAATCTGTCGCTTCCATTCGCCCACCATTTGATGGCGGGGGCTTTGAAAGGAGGCAGGAGGCAGAGTGCCGTATTGTACACGATGGCATGCCGAGGAATTGCGGTCAGCACGGATGGGAGAAATGTCACATATTGTCCGGACTAGGGAAGACAATGGCAAGGGAACAAGCATCAAACGCCTCAGGGGGCTTGCGACTGGTGGCTAACCACCTCAAGGAAGGGCTCAAGTCTGACAGTTCGGGCACGAGCACAACGCTTGCACGAGCACACGACAGCGAGGCGACGTATCCGTACTTTTCCTCTGCGAATGCACATGATTTGTGTATGAACAGAGAAAGCGGCATGCGACATGCCACACCGAGTGACCAGGCTCCATCTCATAAAACGCAGCACCCGAGACCGTGGAACCCGCCGCTTCAGCATTGCGGCGCTTGACCTCATCGCGCCCTGGGCTACCGTGCTCTCTCGCCCTTCTCTCTGGTTTTGTACTAATCTGTCACAGGGTTTGTTGTCTCCTTGCATCATCCGGACCCGGGCGCTCACTGTCTTCTCATCTCCCCGTCGGCATCTTGGACCGAATTCTGCCCCATCGTACTCTTTTACGGATCCTCTCTCGTCTTCGGCACCCGCGTATCCCTACGACTCCACGTTGTTTCCAATGAGCTTCTGATCGCCCCAGAGAAAGAGGCCGCCTTTTTTTCCTTTCACAAATTCCCTCTTTGGGCACCAGACCACTACTCTGTACGGAGTACCAAGACTCCTTTGGATCCTGACCTCACATCATCACTAGCCAAGCCGGGTGATCCGGATCTTCCCATTCGCTCCATAGCCACAATTTCCGCGTACTCACCTCATCCCGCCTCAGCTGCCCAGCACGCCCAGCTTATTAGGCTCTGCGGGTTACACAGCACTCATCTCCCTCTTATTCGTCAGTCCACACATGAAACTTTACGGATACCGCACACAGGGTCAGATCAAAGATCACCTCAATCAAAGACCTTGTTCAGGTTCACGGACAGACTCAGACTCCACTGTCGTATCGTGGAATTCTCCGCCGTTGGCAATCCCTTTTTAATAGCCGCTGGGTCACGCTCTCTTTTCGCTTGGGTACCCTGAGATTGAACATCTGCCAATCTCCCGAACCTTAAGTCCTCTTCGTTCTGGCAGAACGTCGTCACGTCTGGGAACGGTCATTGGGAGCTCAGCTACTAATCCTAGCTCTCACCATTGACAACTCATCCCGACACCCACTTTGGACAACGCAGGAACTGATCCTCCCGTCAAATCGCATCGCTCCTCCATCAGCAACCAAGCATTGGCCAACAAGGGGCTCTCTTGTAGCAAAAATAAAAAAAATAAAAAAAAAATACCACGGCATCCCGACGTCTCAGTCCGATTAAAAAGAAGGACCGCGCTCACACTCAAAAACTCTCCAATTCGACGTCATACCGGCCGACACCAGGCGAAAACCTTCTTTAGCTCGACGGGTCCGTGAAAAAGGCCGAAGCCTTCTCATCCCCGTCAAAGTCGCCGCACCGCACAGCCGCTGGGCCATGCCCACAAGGTCGACAATCGCTGGATCCTATTACTACTAGTGTCCATCCATCGCCTATCTCTACCGTCCCTTCCGACACTTCCTTCTTCTATTTTGGAGTCTGAGTTATCCATATATCTTTCACAACCCAATCCTCTTTTTGATACCCCCTTTCAAGCTTCCTTTCTGTTTGCCCACTTACAAACCCAACACCTCTGGTTTAACTGGCCTAGGACCAAAGGAGGATTTACACACAATGATGCTCTCATCCCTATTGGCAGTGGCAGCTGCCGTTGCCCCGGTGTGGGCAGTTGATCCCGTGAAGCCAATGGCGGCCGGGCTCATCATGGAGGCCCTGGACCCCCGCGCTCTCCCCAACTCCCCTTCGGGAGGCTACGCACCCGCGATCGTCGACTGCCCGTCCGCCCGTCCCACAATCCGGTCCGCATCGGCCCTGTCGCCGAACGAGACAGCATGGCTCCCCCTTCGCCGCAATGCCACAGTCGAACCCATGCGCGAGTTCCTAACCCGCGTCAGCATTCCCAACTTTGATGCCGGCGCCTACATTGACCGTGTAAGGTCATCATCATCGCAATTGCCCAACATCGCCCTCGCCGTGTCAGGAGGTGGTTACCGCGCTCTCATGAACGGTGCCGGCTTCCTCGCTGCCGCAGACAGCCGGACCCCCAACTCGACATCAGCTGGCCAGATCGGTGGCCTCCTCCAGTCCGCCACTTACGTTGCCGGTCTTTCTGGTGGCGGATGGCTCGTTGGCTCCATCTTCACTAACAACTTCTCCTCCGTGGTCGACCTGCAGCGCGGCTCAAAGGGATCTGCCGTCTGGAAATTCGACCGGTCCATCTTCTCGGGCCCCAAGGAATCCGGCCTCTCCATCCTCAACACAGCCGAGTACTGGAGAGATGTTGCCAAGCAAGTCGACACCAAGGACCAAGGCTTCGAGGTTTCCATCACGGACTACTGGGGCCGCGCCCTCTCCTACCAGCTCATCAATGCCACCGACGGCGGGCCGGCCTACACCTTCTCCTCCATCGCCGACGAGCCCGACTTCCAGTCCGGCCAGCAGCCCTTCCCCATCCTCGTCGCCGACGGCCGCGCCCCCAATGAGCGCATCATCTCCCTCAACGCCACCGTGTACGAGTTCAACCCCTTTGAGCTCGGCACCTGGGACAACACGGCCTACGGCTTCGCGCCCCTTCGCTACCTCGCCTCCAACTTCTCCGCCGGCCGCATCCCGGACAATGGCTCCTGCGTCCGCGGTTTCGACCAGGCCGGCTTCGTCATGGGCACCTCCTCCTCCCTCTTCAACCAGTTCATGCTCCAGAACCTCTCCTCCGCCGGGCTGCCCGACTTCATCCAGTCCGCCCTAACCACCATCCTTAACGTCCTGGACCAGGACAACAACGACATCGCCCAATACGTGCCCAACCCCTTTTACGGCTACAACCCGCGCACAAACGTAAACGCAAACCAGACCCAGCTCTCCCTAGTTGACGGCGGCGAAGATCTCCAAAACATCCCCCTCCACCCCCTGATCCAGCCCAACCGCGCCGTCGACGTAATCTTCGCCGTCGACTCCTCCGCCGACACAAATTACAACTGGCCCAACGGCACAGCCCTCCGCGCAACCTACGACCGCGTCGCTCAGCCCATCGCAAACGGCACCCTCTTCCCCCCCGTCCCGGACGCAAACACCTTCATCAACCTAGGCCTCAACCGCCGCCCGACCTTCTTCGGCTGCAACGCCTCAAACTTCACCCTCTCGGGCAACCAGCGCGTGCCCCCCTTGGTCGTCTACCTCCCCAACGCGCCCTACGTCGCCCACTCCAACGTCTCGACTTTCGATCCCAGCTACGAGCTCGACCAGCGCGACGCAATCATCCAAAACGGCTACGACTCGGCCACACAGGGCAACGCGACCCTCGACGCCCAGTGGCCCGTCTGCGTCGCCTGCGCCGTGCTCTCCCGAAGCATGGCGCGCTCCCGCGAGACCGTGCCCGACGCCTGTGCGCAGTGCTTCTCGCGGTACTGCTGGAACGGTACGCTCGATACCCGCGAGGTGGACTATAACCCCAGCTTTGCGATTGGCAACATCGAGGCCAACAGCCCCGCAGCGAGGACCGGTGTAAGTCTTGCGGCTGGGGTCTTGACCGCGGCGGCGGCGGCGGTGGTGCTGGCCATCTAAAGATGCTTGGTTCACGAGAGATTTTTTTTGTTTTGGCGCGTTAACGGCCTTTGTTTTGATACAACATTACGGAACATCACGGCCGGCATTGGGCTCATTTTTTGAAACCACATCATTCCCCCCTGAGGACAAGGGTGGGCATTTTCGGGCTCATTTTTCGCCATATTCGCTCCCTGGCGAGCTAGAAAACGGGATATTGGGCTGCTCTTCACCATCGTCGCTCCCTTGAGGGCAGGAAAACAGGATACTGCTCTGGAGTTGGTCAGCATTAGGATCACGGACATATTCATTACACGGGGGTTAAAACCAGAGGTTAGGGAAGAAGCAAACTTTGTTTTGCAAGGCTCTTGCCAGAGGAATGTGAGAGTGTCCGTGAGGGACAGAGAGAGAGAGAGAGAGAGAGAAGAGAGATGCGTAGTCTTTAAAAAGCGAATTTGGGGATATCCACTTATGCCAACGTCCTTCCATGTAAAACATGACTGCGTCAAAAGACAGCGTCAAAAAACTGCATGTAATGCCACTTGAAGAACCACGGCTCCTTTGCTCCCCTCCTCCCGTTTTTCCCGTGATATTTCCACGCCGAGCATACCACACTTTCTACTACTCGCTAGGCCGTGTGAAAGCTCTCGCCCCAACACCGGACCTCCTCCCAAATCCTATGTAGAATGACCAGGATGACCCGGTGGTTTGCTGTGGAAAAATAATATGTATGACTCTCCCGACTCCGACCGTTCGCCTCCCAGACCTAACGAGGAGGTATGAATGATGCAATGTCGTGAAAATCAGTCGTTAACGCGTAAAATAAGGCCCGGCGAAGGGCTCTGAGAGGAACAGGGGTTTCGGCGGAAACGGGTCAGTTTGGTGGCTCGTTGAGTAACTCGAACTATGGCGCCAGACAGTGAAGTTTTGACATGCGTAGCGTCCGGTCTGTTCGTAGCCGCGTCGATTCTCCCCTGGTAGTGTCCTTTGTCGAAGTAGGACCAAGAGAAATGATAAAACGTATGATACGGCGGCAAAGCACCGCCAGGTTATTTTGATGCCCGTCTCGCGTGACCTAGCTTCCCATCTCTTGGCCATCGAAGGCCACCAGAAGCCTATCTTGACGGTCGAAAAGGGCCGTCAACCCTCACATCCTTGACACCCTCGGGCATCATTCTCAGCCACTCCGTCCAGTTATCAATGTCGATCGGTTCGTCTCCTATCCGGAATGACAGTACCAATTGCTGACCTTCTGTGCCGAACGGAAGGCTCGTCCTCAAGGGACCAATGTTGAGAGGTGCGAGAAGAATCGAGGGTAGTCGAGCATTTCCAGACATTTGCATGTGGAGCGGAGACGGAAAGCTCGTGATGGTTTCCTTTTCAGGGTTCCTATCCTGAACGAGGGAAGGATAATTGGACAGCAGTTTCGAGTGAAGCTCTGCTGCGGAGAAGGGGCTCGTGAATCGTTGAGAGGCGCGTGTCTTTAGGTGCTCGGTAAGAACTTTGGTAAACGTGCATCGATCCAGGGCATCGAAGTGCTCCTCGGATACAGCAGCAGCCACCAATTCCAAGACACCTTGTTGGCGATGCATTTTGGAAGATGGAAAGAATGCGGCGTCCATCACAATTAGGGTGTCTGAACATGCCTCCTCAAGCACCTGCTGAATACCACTCCAACGAATAGTCTCGGCCTTGTCCTTATCTTTTGAGCTGGCAAGATGTCAGAATCCGAGCCCCCTGACAAGGGTACTTGTGAAATACTCACCTGGCGAGCACCATCTCCCGGTTGCCGTCTAAGTAGGAATGGCCGTTGTAGTAGACAATCTTTAGAACGTCCCGTTGATCACGATCCTCCACAAAGTCGGTAATTTTGCGCGAGAGCCATCTCCACGGGCTTTTGCAAGCCTCAGAAGCAGACGGAATAGTCGTGATCGAAAACGTATACCGGTAATACTGGTCGAAAACTTCTCCAAGTTCTTTGACGGAGCTCCCAACACTGAAATCAGGGTCGTCCTGCCAGTACAGAAGCAAGGCCTGTGCACTTGAGTAGCGGCTCCGACTGGGGGTGGACAGAATTCTCGAAACATTGGTCTGTAAGTCAGATTTGAGACTATCAATTCCAGGCAAGACTGGGGGCTTGTCGAGCCTGGGACCGGTCGGGAGTGGCGTGCGAATACGGGACTCGCTAAGTCGGTGACCACCAGGAGGCGTCGGGGAGTCTATCTCCATCTCCTCGGGGTCCTGTGTAAACATTGACTTCACGTTGTTGTTGTTCAGGGCCGGCGCTGGGCTGAGCGGCCGCTGGCCAGCCATAGACGGGGCGATATCCTGGATGCTGGGACTGTGAGACCTATGATATTTCCTGACAGCATCCTCCCACGTCATGTTGTGATGGCTAGGATGGCACTTGGCAAGGGCAGGATTGTCAGCAGGGGTGAGCATTTTTTTTACCATAAAGACGTGAAGGGGTCACGGGTGACTTACTGCAACTCTCCTTCTGCGACAGTCATTACAGGCGCCCAGCTTTCTGATGAGCGCGGCTTTCTCTCTCTGTTGCTGGGACAAAGGACCGGTTCGCCTCCTGCTCGCGCGGACCCGGTTAGAGACGTCGGAGCCATCCTTTACATGGAATATGGATGTTAAGTTAGGAGAGGTGTCGGCACTGTACGATGTGTTGCTTGTGTCCACGGACATATTGGTGGCAGCGGATGCCGCCGTGGCCTGAGTTGATATGGACGAGTTGGTGTCCTTCCTCAGCGGAGGAGAAGCCGACTGACCGGGGGTGGGGGGAGGTTGCTGTGACTGGTGCTGAGGAGTCGTTTGCTGCTGCGGCGGTTGATGCTGCGCTGGCAATGACTGCTGTTGTTGGAGCGGAGACTGTTGCGACTGAGGCAGCTCATGATGAGACATTGAAGGTGAGCCAGTTTGGGGTCTGTTTCCAGACTCCTCACTGCCATTCTTCGGAGGCGCCTCTAACAGACTCGGAGCCGGATGCATGCTTGCAAGTTGTGTTGTCTTATTCCCTTTATTACAGCAGCAACTACCCTTGGCCCATCCTCGGTGTGCGTTGGTGTAATTGTATGTGGCGGAAAAAGATTAGAGAGAAAAGAGAAGAAAAAAAGAGTTTCAAGAAGAAAGGGTGGCTAGTGGAATTGCCGCGCCCCTTCTCTTCTCATACACACACACACTTGGCTCTGTCTGGCTGTCGCGCCTTTTCTTTGAAGTTGGGCAGATTGTGTGGTGGTGCCCCACCGAGATTCACCGACGCGAAAGAGCGACCAGAGAAAAGTGAGGGGTAAAAGAAACGGGTCCTCGGAGGCGGGGAGCAGCCAAACAGAGAATGCGCCGAGGGCAAATGATGCCAATTGAGACCTGGAAACGAGAAGAAACCACCGCAGTGACGGTCAAGAATAAAAGAAGGACAATCAGACTTGGTTTCGGTGGACAACCGTCTCAATTCGAGGTGTGTGAAGGTGGGAGGATGAGGGCCGAGGCCAAGGTGCACGAATAAAAATAAGGTCGGTCGGTCAGGATTTAAGGGTACGTGCACCGAGCACCGGAGAGGGAAAGAGCGAAGAAAGCACGGGCCAGGACCCCCGGTAAGGTACGGCGCTGGGAACTGAGATCGGGAGGTGAGGTGGTACTGGACCTCTGGTAGTGCCCGTAGTGTGGTGGTAGTGGGCTGGTTGTGGTGGAGGTGGTAGTGGACTATGGTTTGGTTGCTGGTGGTACCTCTCGTGCAAAACCCTCTCCAAGATGTCGTTTGCGTGGATTTGGATGTTGTTGTGGTGGGAGAAGAGAAATGCGACGAGGTATGGATACTTCTGGCAAGGTACCGATCAGTCCAGCCCGGGATGGGGACGGGAACGGGTGAAGGGACGGAGAAAGTTGGGCGTCGGTGGAAAGAGAGACATACATACTTACAGTCTGGATGGATGGATGGATGGAAATCTGTTGACCGGGCCGGTACAGCCAAACCTCTCGCGAATTTCTTGCAGGCAGATACACGGAAGACAGATACGGCGGTTAAAAAGCCCTTACTGGTAGGTACCGAGTATCGTCGACTGAGGTGAACCGGGTGACTTGCAGAGGTGTAGTACAAGGCAAGATAGGAGGGAGAGGGACGAGACTGAGAAACGAGACAACCCTGCGACAGGGATCGTGGGTGTTGTGGATTTTGGGTTCAGAGAGTTCGATGCTTGGGCTTTGGTGCTGAGTGAGTGATACAGGTGAGGGTTGTGACTTTTATCGAGCGGGTCTGGGTCCGGGTTTCGGTCTGATGTTTTTTTGTTGCTGCTGCTTGCCGATGCTGAGCGGTTTTGCTCTGGGTCTCTGATGATACTCTGGAGTCGGTCTTCTTTCTACCTATGTTCCGCTCGCCGGGTCTTATGGTTCAAGGGATCTGTTTATGTTCGTTGCTTAGATTTCGTCCGTCTTTACTGTCTGCCTGCTAAGAAAGGGAGTTAGAGAGAGCGAGACACAGGGCGACAGAGAGAAGAGGCCAAGACGTCTGGTAGGTAAAGAAGTCCCCGCAGAGTCGAGGCCCCCGGTCCTTTCCTCAAGTTTTCTGAGTCGTTGCACTGGCAGGTGTGGATATCTCAAGAGGAAGAAGACCGGGTTCCTCTTCTTTCCCAACATCACGCTTTACCAGAGTCTCCATTCGTGGATGAGTGTGAACATCATCATATTTTCTTCTTTACACAAGGTTTTCGCTCACCTCAACTCTCCGTTGCACCTTAGGTGACTACGCCCATGCGAGATTCAAGGCAATGCAGGCTGTGAGGTCTGAATGGCTCAATCGTTTTTCGGGGAGATGGATGTAGATTGATAGGCACGTGCAAGTTGAAAAAGAAATGAAAAAGAAACCATGACACAGAGCACGAGAGAGAGAGGAATGAGCTCAAGGAAGCAGTCGTCGGGAATTCATTCGTACGGAGGAGGGAAAGGAAGGCGCGCTGTAGTAAGTCGCACGACACAGCCCAGCCGAGCCCAGTCGTGCCCGTTTTAACTTCCAAGTCAGCATCTATTCGATCTGGCCAGCCCACCTCATCTGCTACCCCATGGTGCACTTCAGGTTTGTCTACATCGCCATCTGCATCTACATTGTGAGCCAAGGTAAAGTAAAGCATGTACTTATCAAGTACCTCGTCTGTGTGATGGCTGTTGGTATGTCCAAGGTAGGTACTTTGCCTCATGCTGTTTCTTCAAAGTGACTTGGACTCAACCACTCAACCCAAGGGAAGGAAGGAACTGAGGTGCAGTCATTCCTACTCACCTCAACTACAGCCCGACCTTGGTACATCTCGGAAAGGAAGCCGCACCCGCATTTACACTAGCCACTGCATATTCAGGTAGGTAGTCGAGCGTTCTTTCCCATCAGCTACACATACATGAACAGGTAAGGTAGCAAATGGAAGGTCGACAACCTCACTTGTCAGGCTTCGCGGAGCGCTTGACCCGGCACCGTTTTAATTTTTTTTTCTTAACCCTTGGAGGGGAAGGAGGGGGAAACAGCACCTGGCACGTCAAAGGAAGGGTCCAGGGGGGCCACCGGGGGGGTGGTGACCTTTCACCTCCACACGCGCACGCACCAGATTCTGCAAAAGGTGGGAAGGTGCGAGGTGTGAAGTGGGATGGAGTGATGGACCACGGGCAGTTTGCTGCGCCGTGGCGGGGACACCTTCCCTATCCAAGACCTCAAGGTACTCCGTGCCGTCATTTTGGCAAGGAAGTGACTTTGTCCGACGGTGAGCTTCCATGGCACGCATGGGGGACGGGGGACCTGTCTCGGGTTGGCAGGTGAGAGAGGAAATACGACGGTTGCTCTTGCCGCCAAACCGCTAAACTGCTAAACCGCCGCTCTTTGCTCCGAACCTCTTTTTTTTTCCCCATCGGCGTTTTCTCGTCTTGTCTCGTCTGCCTACCTGACCACCTCAACTAATCCCGTCTACCACCAACCGTCACCTTACCACCACACGCACGCACACACAGACACACAGCACCTTGAGCTTGTTACCTTGGCCAGCCAGTTCTTGTCTGCTCCCCCTTCTCCCCCGCGATCCACTTTCGATCTTAACGAGATGCTTGAATCGAGTAGAATTATGGGGTCCTGGCTGAAGCGTCCCAAGCTCCCAGCCATCACCGTGACAGTGTCCACACCTTCAGCACTCTCCAAGTCCATGGCAAGGTAGAACTATCATTGCATGGGATCGGAAAGGGCAGGGTAGAAATCTCGAGGACACTGAAAGATCCGTTCTCTTAGGCTTAGGCATGCACACATATCCGTACACACACATATTCACATGGACAACTTCTCGCACTACGATCTGGCATGGCCTCACTTTGACCCAAAGAGTCGACAGATGCGCCCGATATTCAAAGACATCCAGGCATTCTCGCAGGATTCGCAGCCCAGTCAATAAAGCCCAGCCCAGCCCAGCCCATCAGATCAGTCGCGCGGCCCGGTCGATGATCTTCAACGAGCCAATATGCTCACCGACCGAGAGATGGTGTGAACGTCTGTTCTCGGTGTCTCGGCTGAGGGGCGTCTAGCCATGTCCCGTCCTCTTGGCATGTGCGGCTTGACTACGGAGAAGCTCGGAAACCAAACAACAGCTGAGACCCAACTCAATGACCTCTGTTGCCGCAAAAACACACTTCACGAATTCCGTCTCCTTCCATACAGCCAGCCGTTTCGCGGGTATTGCCTAACCCTGCCTCTTCACTGCCTGATTGATGGAAGCGAGGAAGGATATCAAAACACCCGCACCCATAGAGCAAATCATGACGAGAAACGACAATGGAGAAGCACCTCTGGCGATGCAACACCAACCGGGCCTGGCAAAGAAAGACATGTCATGCGCACCACGTGGACCCTGTCCTGTCCCTGTCACCGTCTCCTTCACTTTTCGCTGTACGGATACGCTGTGCCTCCTCGTCTCATGGTCAGGTCTCGTCCCGCCCACCCGCTCCCTGCTCTTCCGCCCACCGAGTAATAAGATCGGCTAGCTGAGTCGCTGGCTCACCTTCAGGCTTCGGGCTGCAAGCCTGCAACTGTAAGTCTCCAACAACTGACTACCAAACCCTTTGCTGCACTTCCAATGGATCCAAGCGGGGGCTGTCAACCCCCACAGCCCTGGGCCAATGGCTCGGTTCCTCTTCTAATTATCCGCACTCTAGTCGGACATCAACAACAGCCCAATGCAGAGAGGACAATGAACAATATGATTCAGTGGAAACCTACAGACTCGAGATCAGAGCCCTATCGTGTTGCGCAATACCTCAACAACCCATTGGTCTCCCCTAAAGGATGTGCAAAATTGGACTTGAGGTTGACATCTACCTTGCTCGGGCTCGCTAGGCTAACTGGCATTCTCACTCTAATC